TGAAGATGTTTGCTTCGTAGCAGGATTCAAAATCTTGAGACTTATACAGCGGTACACATTGTTTATGATATATGGATGTATCTTAAACTTTCTGTTCCAAATATACGTAAATGCAAGTAGAGTGAATCCGAATTTCATAGTAGGGTAAAATAAGACAATGGCACATGCACAATGCTGAAAACATGATGAGTGTGGCTATTATCCTGTCTCACCCAGCAAAATATATACAGCCCTTTTAAAACTGGCAATAGCGATAATGCAATGATAAAAAATGTTAATACTAGCAGCTCCGATGCTTCTATGCGTAAATATAATGTAAGTCACCGAACCGAACTGTTGTGCTATTCAGTAATCATATGCATCATCGAAGTAATTCTTGGTTGGCATTTTCTCATGACATCGGTAAGTCGTAACAGTAGAGCCAAAGTCCCCAAGTCCTGAAAGCTAATCGTTTGAAAGAACTGTGATGGACGTTTTGGATTCATCCTGAGTAGATCGTATTTTCCAATTCGTGCTACTGCAACTTAAAAATGAAAGTATGTTCTATTTCCCGTCTTTTAATGCCACCATTTATTATACAGTCAAGGAGCGGTTACATTCACTACACTGAGTCACGTTCCCGGCGACCTCTTACACCTAATCCATTCAGCAGACTTGATAGCCATAGTGACTCGGGAGCAAGAAAAGATCAAGGTCATCTTATGAAGGGTATTAACCAAAATTAACTTTGGGAAGGTTTTTCTTTTGCAGAAAGATTTAACAGGAGAACTTAATACTTTTGAGTCTTTCCGAAGAGTCTACAGTTCTTCATGTATTTTCGGTTACGAGATGCAGTCGATGTTAACCGTCGATAGTACGGATCGTCTGTGATTACCAACACAGCTGATATTGATGCCATTGCGACTACTGCTAGTACTACTACTACTACTACTGTTACTACTAACAACTACTACTATTACAACTACTACTCCTGCTGCTGCTACTACTACTTATACTACCGATGCCAATGATTATAATGATAACACCAATGATACGAATCCTACTGCTTCTGTAGCAAATACTACTGCAGTTGTTTATATAGATGGTAATAATTACAGTAATACTACTACCGTTGTCACTTTTGTCGATATTGCCGCTAATAACGATAATCGTTATATTGAGAATGATAACGACAATGGGCATGACTGTATATGTAACTACGATGATGACAAAAAGGATCAAGAAGACCATGACACTGATGATGATTACAACAGTAATAATGACAATAAGAAGAAAACATGTTCATATTAACGTTTTACATCATACTGAAGAAACGCACACATACACACACACATACACACAAATATAAATTTGAATGTATATATACATATACATATATGTCTATATCTGCATCTATATCTCTCTCTCTATATATATACTTATAAATATAATGTAAATGTATTTACACACACACACACACACACACACACACACACACACACACACACATATATATATATATATATATATATATATATATATATATATATATATATATACATATAAATATATATACACGTATCAATATATATATATAAATAAATAAATAAATATATATATATATGTATGTATATATATATATATATATATATATATATATATGTGTGTGTGTGTGTGTGTGTGTGTGTGTGTGTGTGTGTGTGTGTGTGTGTGTGTGTGTGTGTGTGTAAATACATTTACATTATATTTATAAGTATATATAGAGAGAGAGATATAGATGCAGATATGTGTATTCGCTTTTTTGAATTCCGTCAAATAAACTGTGCATGTGTATAAACAGTGAAAGGGTGTGGAACTCTGATATCATATCAGCAAGTCCTACATAGATAAGCTCACTAATAAAATGAAAAGTAACATGTCTCGCCTTTCATCTTATGTGCGAGAGTTGAGGCGCATGGACATCCATCCAATTTAAACTTGTTTAAACCTTTTTATGATGTGACGCGTGTGTGTGTGTACACATACAGAGAGAGAGAGAGAGAGAGAGAGAGAGAGAGAGAGAGAGAGAGAGAGAGAGAGAGAGAGAGAGAGGCAAAAAAGAACACCAAAATGGATAAACGACTGATAGACGTGAATTTATGTATACACATAATACAGTTAGAGAGAGAGTGGAGAAAGAGAGACTACAGTTTTGTAAGTGTACTTGAATCGTGTAGCCGTAGATAATCCAGCTAAGTGGCAATAAATCCCATATAACAGATCCTCGGTCCAAGAATGAAATATACTCTACATGGTCTGTGATAATGTTATGAGAAAACGAATGAAATTAAGCATCTATTGTTTTATCTTTTATTATCGCTGCTCTAGATTGTATTATCACGTGTAGTAAAACATGTCAGTTTCCTATCTGTCGTATATAGTATAGAATTTAAAGATTGAATTTATGTTTTATTGGAGATTTATCACAGATTACTACGAGTATAAAAGTCTCTGGACACTTAATAAACATCGCAAACCCTAC